GTTCTATAAGCCTCTAACCGATGTGATTGACAGCGCGGCCCCTTATTCAGCGACAACTCTTATGCCACGTCTGCAGATGAGTTGTCCGACATTGTAGCTCCTTCACTGCCGGCTGAAGAAGATATTGCGCCCGTGAAACGTCGCCCTTCACTGCCAGCTGAAGAATGCGCACCAGTTAAGCGTCGACGTGCTTCAAAGAGGGTCCAGAGAGGGAGGAAAAGAAAATAGTCATTGGCTGATGCGACTAGTAGTATGTGTCCTTAGTGTAGAACACTGGCGCGTCAAGGCTCGTCAGTTCCAAGAAAATAGTCATTAGTTGAGGACTGGCTAGTAGTATATGTGCCTATGGTGAATGAAATCAACGAAGGAATGATCATGAACCCATACAACTTGATGTGAAAGTCGAATATAGGATATAGAAATGAGTTGCACTAGTGCATCAGTAGCCCCGTCAAGACTCATCAGTGCCGCGTCAGTGCTGCGTCACTTGCGCGTCATGACCGCGGCAGGCACGGCAGGACCGCATCAAAATAGCTACGCCCGGTTGTTCCTAGATAAGGAGATCGTGATGACACGGTCCGTGTGACCTCTAAGTACGGTGATCTGCTCCCAAGTGACAGTGTTGAATATCCTAATCAGGCCAGATGAACCGGTGATAAGCTTCCCCCAAATCCCGGAACCCGATGTCCAGGCCAAGCTGTAAACTCTCTCACCATTATGGTGGTGGAGCAGTGGCCAATGGACTGAGCTTGGAACAAGGCTCAACGAGTGGAGATGATGATGTACACTACGAACAGGCTCAGGCTTATGCTACCTGCTGACTAAGCTAAGGAAAGAGCCGACAGGCTCTTGGTGTGTGGCTCTTGTCCTTGGGACCCCTGGTCCATGCACCCCCCTAAAAAGAGATGGCGCCGCCCTCGACGCCCTCACTCACTCACTCTTCCTCTTCTTCCTCTTCATCTTCTTTGTCTGTTTCTTGTCTGCTTCTTTGTTGTTTTGCGTGCTGTTTTCTTCTGTTTCTCTTTCGTCTTCTTCGGCCTCTTCGACCTCTGGTTGCCTTTGGGTGTCCTCAACTCCTCTTCCTTCCAATCTTGTCTTGTACTCTTCCTGTTTCTTTGCCAATGTGGTTCCTGTTCTTGGGGTGAACGATCTTAGCCTTCGTGCGCTATACTCTCCTTGCAATAGAACTCCTTCTAACGTCTCCAATTTGTAAGAGTTCCGGAGTCTGGATCTGATTCATTGCGGAACTGACCATTTGGGTAAAAGTTTTTGTTTGGTTTTGAAGGTGTAGTCTAGGTCATTGCAGTAGACTTGGACTAATTGGCCTGGTTTGAAAAGGACTTCACCTGGTGCACGTTGCAGTATTCTTTTGTCAAATGCAGCTTTGCACTTAATGGCATGGCGGACTATCTCTTCATAGCAGTCTAGGCGCTGTTGTTCGACATACGCGATCTGCGTTAGCGCGTCTGACGGTCTGACCACCGAGGAGCTCTCTGCTAATGGTGTGGGCTTGGTGTTGACAATAAGGCCAAGCAATAATTCTTTTGGGGAGAACTTCAGGGCTGGTAGTAGGCGGTTATTGAGGGCGTGTACTGCGTTGTCGAGGTGTTTAGGCCAGGTTGTTGGGAGGCTGTCCCAGGCAGCGTTTTGAGGTTCGTCTTCTCCTAGGTTCGGTGCACATAACCGTTTAAGGATGTGTAATAGAAGTTTGTTAGCCCCTTCCACTAGTCCATTGATCCATGGCGAATACACCGCAACTATGTGCAGTTTGCACCCTCTCGACTCACAAAACTCTTTAACGGCGTTGTTGTTGAAGTGTTTCCTGCCGTCGGACATGAACGTCTCTGGGTTTATGAACCCGCTGAAAATCTGCGTTAGTCCTTCGACGGTTGTTTTTGCCTTGCCTGCTCCCTTATGTTTGAACACCCAGACATGCTGTGAGAAGACGTCGAGGTATACACCTAGGGTGTTGTACCTGTTTGTTCCCTTCGGCAATGATAGGTAATCCCCTACTAGCAACTCAAATGGATGACGCCTCGTGATAGGTTCTAAAAGGGAATGGATATGAGTGGGTCCGAAAATTTTGCACTTTGGGCAGTCCTTAATTGCTGTAAGGATTGTTGCGTCCAATTTTGGGCTGCATATGTGGTCTAGGAGGGCGATTTTGATCGCGTCCCTTCCCCAGTGCCTGCCTTCCATGTGTGTCTGTGTTGCTAATTCCAGGGCCTCCCTTTTTGTAATGCATTCCACTCTAGCTCTTGCTCTTGTCGCCGTGCCTCCTCTAAGCCGCCATAGCTTCTCTCCCTCTACCACATACTGAGATGCGCGGTGTCTTGCCTTCTTCTTGTCTCGCAGTTCTGCTCCGTGGTCCATGTCATAGCACATATTGCAGTAACATATCTCTGTATTATACGAGTGGACGGACGTGCATAATATCCCGTATGATACGGGCCAGCGGACCATGGGCCGAGGGTAGATATATCCTCGACTGTGACGGATGGGCCGGGAGTGTTATTATTCCCGATGGAGACGGGTGGGCCCAGGTGGGGAATATGTAAAGTAGATGGGTGGGCCGATGGACATGAATTTTCAATAGATGGATCGGCCAAGGTAGTTGGATATTATGTAGATGGGTGTACCAAGGTAGATATGTATCAAATAGCCGGGTATATCAAGGGTGCTTGTTATCACATAGACAGGTGGGCCCAGATATATATCATATTAGACGGGTGGGCCGACGAATTAATATTATTTTGTAGACAGGTGGGCCAAGGGAGTGGTAAAAGATGTATTATATACAGGTGGGCTGACGGGAGACATATATTGCATAGATGGGTAGGCCGACATGGGGGTATATAAGATAGACGGGTGGGCCCAGGAGAATGATAATTGTAGACATGATGGAGCTCAGCTAGTTGTATATCATCCAAATAAAAGGAGGTGATTATTCAAAGTCATCTAATGATGTGGTATGGCACGGAGCTTTGCAAAGGGGTGAAGTGGAAACTTGAGCGAAGTGTACCGAGTTCCAAGACCCGGGTCTCGACAAACGAATATGTGATGTCCAGCACACTTCCGATCATCTGGTATCTCATTGAGCAATGGATGATAATAGATCTTTGAAAGCCAACATCATCCAAGCCTACCAAATGCCAAATGCCAAGTTCCGACCACCGAAAATTGAGTGAAGTGTACCAATATCTGAGCCCCAACTATTGAATCCCGAAAATCGACCATCGAGTCCCGACTATTGAGTCCCGACTACCGAGTCATGAAACCCGACGCCTGACCATTGAATCCCGACAATCGAGTATCGAGTCCCGACCAACGAGTCCCGTATATTGAGTCCCGACCATCGAGACCCGAGACCCGACGCCCGAGACCCGAGACCTGAGATTCGAGACAAGTTCCAACTATGGTGTCCCGGGTATCAAAATCGAGTGAAGCGTACCGAGATCCGAGGCCCGGGTCTCGACAAACGAGTATCTGACATCCAACAGACTTCCAATCATGTGGTATTTCATTGAGCAATAGATGATAAGAGAAATAGATCTTTGAAAGCTCAGATCATCCAAGGCTCCCTTATCTGATCCTCTCAATCTCCACCCCCTTTAACACCAAAGTGCGGACATTCAGGATTCAGCTTCTGATCTCACAAGATCAATTCAATCATGGATGTTTCTTCCACTTCCGATGATGAAATAACCCTCTTGCGCACTTGGGCCCTGACTGTCACTCACGTGGCATGTGATTATACGGAACAGAAATTCAATGCAGAGAAGACAGGAGGAGACCCAGTTATACCTTCTCCAAACCTAGACACTGATCTGGTGATGGCTTGTGATCAATTGGTTGATCGGCTCATAAAGGCATATAAAAATCCCAGTGAGTCTTCCTGCAGATTCGGAAAATTCGTTTTATCAGTCAAATTGCTTCATCACAGTTCAGATGCCGATTGATATTGCAAGATATAGCAAATTGATCTCCCCAAAGGACACAGGGCGTAATGAAGAGAGAGAGGAAAAGTTGCTCGAGAGGTGTCCTCCTGGCCATGAGGGCACAAAGTTGATCGACATACCCGCAACAATTCTTGATGCATCCGGTGCCATCATCGCATGGTACCTCCCAGATGCCTTGACCGATGCCACCCAGGTGTGTTATATATATTGTGACTGGATGGATATTGAACATCAAATGGTACGTACAGAATAAAATTTGGGCGGCCTCGGATTTGCTAGCTCCCATGCTCGAACAAAGCATAAAGCTCGATGGGGATTTGGCGGACTAATCAACAGTGGTTCACACCAAGCTCGGAAAATGATGTCCTAAACTCCCGGATGCGTTAATTTATCTCCGGCATGGTTTCAGCAGGGGCACGAGGTAGGATCTGATGAGATGGCGATCATGGTAGTTAAACTCACCAATCCCATAGAATCAGTCCGATCCGGAGGTATCTGCATCATTGAAGGGACCATCCTCCGAGAACAATCCTCAAAGCCATTGTGAGGCCAGCAGCCATTGCCACAGCGGCACTCAGGGTGATGCATCCTGAGCAGTACTGGGCAGGGTTGCAAGCCTTTGCGAGCCTCGGAGAAAAGGCACAAAGCAAGGGAACTGCCGAAGATATCAGAGACTCTCCAGTACTGGGCAACGGTGTTTAACAGCCTCACCGTCATATGCAATCGGGAAACCCCGAATCATCGAGACCCCTCATCGATTTCCAAATGCTTCGATATTCTCACTAGCGTGGGGAATTATTCTAATGCTTGGATGAGTATGCCAAGCCTGCAGCTGGAGTTAAGGTACGATCCGGGGTGCATGATTGCATTTTCGGGAAGGATTGTCAGA